CGCACCGTCCCTCGTCGCCACGTACCATGTATAATTGAAGTCTGATTGTTATGCGCCTCATAGGTCACCGTCCAAGTGTGTGTACTGGGACGACCCTGCCTCGTTCTTGGCGCCTTTTCCCCAACACGAAATAAGAAGAAAAGAATAGGCTTCGAATTTCGTAAAAGAAACTCTGTTTGTTCTTTTATTAATAAAAGACAGACGCTGCAGAGCCGAACAGATCTTAACCGATCAGAACCACCCGGTGGCGCCGTGTAGCCAATCATGGGCGACAAGCATTGCACAAGTCTTTAAATACACACAGAGCCTGCCCACATTTATGGCTATGCGGATATTGCACTCAACCTTTATATGTATTCTTATAGGCTGAAAGGAATAAATCCACGGAAGCTCATTGGTCGACTTTCCTGCCCGATTATATTTCGACTGGATGTTTCACAAGCGTGGCTCGCAGCATTTGATAACAAGGTGGGAAGCGGCAGCATCTCATCGTGTCATCTTCGCAGCCTTCGTCGTCCTTGGCCTCGCCGCCTCGTCTAGCCAAGCGCCAACGGAGAGCACGACCACCAACCAAATGACGGACGAAGCGTGCACGCAGCGCGGCGCCGAGTCGCCGACTAGCAGTTGCGCTCTAGATGTGCTTGCGGCCGGCCTGTCCAACCAAGAAGCGATCGAAGACGGGCTCGCGCGGCGGCCATCGCTGAAGCGATCGCTTGAGGCAGACACCGAGGTCGAGCCCTCAGACCTGCAGCTTCTCAAGGTCATTGGCCGCGGCACATTTGCTCAGCAAGTGGCGCTCGCCAAGGATCGGCACACCTCCAACGTGTACGCGGTCAAGAGCTGTGATAAGCAAAACCTCGTGCAGCGCAAGCAAGTCGTGCATACATGGACGGAGAAGAAGATCCTCGAGCAGCTCCGAGGCCACCCCTTCGTCGTGACGCTCTTTTCCACTTTTGCGACGCCGGACGAAGTCCACTTCGTGCTCGAGTACTGCCCCGGTGGCGAGCTCTTCTACCACCTGCACCAGCACGATCATTTCAACGAGGCAATCGTGCGCTTCTACGCGGCAGAAGTCCTTTGTGCGCTCAAGTCTCTGCACGGCGCAAACATTGTGTACCGCGACCTGAAACCCGAGAACGTCCTCCTCGACGCGCAGGGCCACATTCGACTCGCGGACTTTGGCTTCTGCAAAGACCTCGGGTACGTCGTTTTGCTCAGCGTAGAGCCGAATGCCAAAACGTTATGTAGGGACTCGGATCGAACGTACTCGTTCTGCGGCTCGCCTGAGTACTTATCCCCCGAAATGATTGCGCGCAGAGGCCACTCGACCGCAACGGACATGTGGTCCTTTGGCTGCTTTTGCTACGAGTTAGCGGTCGGCCACCCGCCATTCCAACTGCACGAGGACTCGCTTCCTGACCTCTTCAAAGCGATCCGCGCTAGTCGTGTGTATTACCCGCCGGAACTCAGTCCGACCTTCGTCACGTTCCTCAAAGGATGCCTCGAGACAGACGTACGTGCGACAACACACCGAAGTGTACATCATGCCATGTCACTCATAGATCACGACGCGACTCACGGCATCGAAGGCCATGGACGAGCCATTCTTCGACGGCGTCGACTGGAACAACGTGTGGGCACGCCAGAACGAACCACCGTTCCAGCCTTGCGTGCTCGGCTCCGAGTGCACGCGCAACTTTGACGACGACTTTACTTCCGAGAGCCCACGATCGCCCATTTGGGGCATCGCTCCGCACAAGCGCAATCAGTCGGTGCCGTCCTCGGATGTGTTCACTGACTTTTGATCGTGCCACGTGTACAAGCATAGTATACATCAAACGTGTGATATTTTCCACGTCTTGTGGACCCCGTATTTAGTTGATTGTGAGCGCCGCCACAATATAGAGTAATAACTTGAGCTGTGTGTGCTGTGTGTGTCGGTGATTTTTTTGTTAATGCCTCCTGTTCAAGCTCATCGACAAGCAAGTATGAGCCCTAACCCTCTCACGGCTAGCGTATTGAGGCGCAATTTTGTGAACGAGAGGGAACTATTCGTGGACTCTTTGAATTTATATACGCTGCAGATGGGTTTCATCAATTACACGAGGAATTCAATTGAGTGTCGTATTTGATTTACCCTCACAGCACCAGCGCTACATACAACCTTTCGAAGACCCCACTTTCCTCCCCACTACGGTAGCGTTCGAACCCTGCAATGCGGGGATGGCAATGGCCCTCAAGCACCCCAAAATTCCAGGAAACAAATTCGGACGACGCTTTAATCTACAGCTTCCCTAAAAATGTCGCTCTGATCTAATTTCCCTCAATAACACCTACAATTAATAGAACACAACCACTGCCACCACAGGCATCGCAAACCATCAAAAAGTCCAATGCCCGTAGTGTTCCTGCCGGGCGTGCAACGGCAGATGTGTCAAACAAGTACGGGGAGGTCTAGTTGGCCCTTCTGCTGTTTCCACATAACGGTAGTACGCATAGCGAGCAACGCGTTGCAGCCAAACGCGTGTATCCTGTGTGCAGTGTAGAGCTCACCGGTTGTGCGTCTTCGTACTTGGTTGCCAGCGGTGTCGACTTGACGACGGTGCGGTTCTTTGCAGCTGTGGCGGCAAATATTCGCCTCGCGACACATCCTCCCGTGTTCTGTGATGCGCGACTGTCTCGGTGGGCTTGCTTCAACCATGACGACATCGATGTGCGTTTTTATATGTCCACGCCACGTTTTCCCGCTTGATCGCACTTTTGACGGGAAACACACAGTGGGCGATTTCAGAAAAACGCGATGCACGTGGGTCGAAGCAGTTGCCTGTTCCACCAGCAAATACACTAACAAATACACTGTAGCAAGCACGAACCTTGCTCGCATCTTGGAAGTATCTTGTTCGAATCCATGGGTGCACCCACTCCGTTCGAGCTCCCTCGTGGCAACTCCTCGTGGTATGATCGATCCTCCGCCAGGGCGCGATGGACTGGTACAATGGGAAGTGAATCGGCGTTTGGAATCGTAGCTTAGCTTTGAAATCGTGTCGTTGTGTTTATATAGGTTATAGGTAGTAGAGTACTTGAATCGCGCCAGCAGACGCCGTAAATAAGATGAGCGGACTTGCTTCCGAGCTCAAACAGCAATGCACTCGTCCTTGATCACAACGTCGTCGTCGGCGAGCGTAAAAAACTCATCCTTCACTAGCACGTCGTCGTTGCCGTGGTTGTCACTCGGCGAGACCCCGAGCGCTTCCAAGATGTCAAGCCATTCGGTCTCGGAGACGTCAAAGACGTTGGTCGCGCCACCGAACGGAATGGGCCCGTCGACCGCTGTCGGGCTCTTGAGCGCCTTGTGCATTGACCGCTTCTTGGTCGCATATGCTTTCTGGATCGAGTTGGCCTTGGCGCGGTGGTACTCGCAGAGAGAGTGCAGGTGGCCGTTCTTCTTGGTCGTGCGCGCATTGAGGCACTTCTTGTACACGTACTTGCACGTACTCTCTTCTTCAACAGCTTCACGCGCCATGCTGCTTCTTGGTCCAGTTGGAAAATGACGCGGATGAAGATGATGGAGGAAGCAAGCCGAGTTGACTTGGCCGCCCGTCTGATCCAGACGACCGCTCATTGGCCGCAGGCCAGTGCAATCTGGTCCTTGCTGCCCTCCATTTAAATACCCACTTTGACCTTAAACTTGGCATTCGTATGCAAACGAGAGAACACACGTTTAAATTCCGCCATAGCAGCTGGTCGCCCAGAAAGGCCAGCCGTGGCGCCACGCTTGGATACATCTTTGTGTGGTCAGGGCGCGCCGCCGGCACCAAGTCTGGCCACTTGGATACTGCTGTACGCAACCGAATGAAGTCTCAACAACCATCCATGGCGCGTGCATGCACCAGCTTGGAGGCCGCAGAAACAAGCGTCACATTAAACGCTAGCCCCAATGCATCGAAACGATGACCCACAAGACGGCTGTGATCAAGGGAGAGTAGCACCCCCGTGTTCGATGGCCTGTGACAGTCGCACGCAACTGCGCCGCCACGGAAAAACGTCCACGCAGTGGCAGCTCTTGCAGTGGCATGATGGCAAGAAGCGATGATGCTTTTAAAATAATACTAATCTATCGCACGACTGGAAAGACGACGAAGCGGACCGACGATCACGGGTGCAGCCTCGAGTCACGCCAGTCGTCGGCAGAGCCCAGGTGCCAATCAACGCCCGCCGACTCGAGACTAATGCGCGGCGCGTCGTCTGTCATGTAGCTGTCGCGCTCGCCATCGTGCCACTCGGCAATGCTGCTTGTAGTTGCGTCATCGTCCTCTTGGCTCAAGTGCCCGCTGAACGAGTGGCCATCCTGCCATTGGGACCAGTTGGACTGCGCACTGAGCATCTTCGGGAACGCTGGGTCGTGCGCGGGTGTTGGGGGCTCATCGTCGTCGTCGACAACGCTCGACTCGAGCGCATGGGAGCTTGATCCCTTGCTTAGGCGTTCCTGCCATGATGGGTACGTCGCGCGGAGCGTCGTCGAAATATTGCCTGGAAACTCTGGACGAATGTTGAACGCCGACCAGCGCGCCTTGTGCACGTCGGGGCCGAAATGCTGCGGATGCGAGAGGACTACCATGTCGTCGAGGTCGTCGTTCTCAAGGGGCTCATCACCCTCGCTCATGAAGCTCAGTTTGGACATGCGCATGCTCGAGGACGGGTCGACACTGCTGTAGCCACTTGTGACGATGTTTTCGCACGGCGTGAGAACCTCGTAGGACACGACGCTGCTTTCCATGAGGTCGACGTCGACGCTGTTCGAGTCGAACGGTCGCTGGTCCCCGCGGGGCGTGAAGGATTCGAATGAGTCCATGGTTTTCCGATGACGTGACGCGCGCCGCCGGAAGAGCACAAAGAGCACGACCGCGACAACCGCGACGTTTGCAGCTGCGATCGCGACATAAAACTTCCACGACGCGCCGGCCGCGGCGACTGGAGGTGAAGAAGCTGGCGGCGCGGAGCTAGCAACCTCCTTCGCCATCGTCGGCACGGCTTCGCGCATCGGTTGGATCGTTGGCGCGTCCGTTGTGATGACAGCCTCGGGAAGTGGAGTGGGTGCTATTGTTGTCGTTGGTGTCGGCGTTGTTTGTGTCGGTGGGGGTGTCGTGGTCGGTGCTTGGGTCGTTGTGGGCTCTGGGGTCACCGTGGTGGGTGGCGGTGTCGTACTTGGAGGCGGCGATGTGGTTGTTGGGGGCGGTGTCACCGTGGATGGCGACGGGCTTGGTGTCGGGGGGTCCGTCGGCACGGGACTTGGCGTTGGCGGCGTCGTGACTGTCACGGGTGTCGCAGTCGGCGTGTCGTTCTGCGCCGTCATATTGGCACACACGACGGCAGGCATGCGTGTGGACGCTAAGAGGACGAGCGACAGCCAGAGATGCAGGACGACCGGTCGGCAGCGCATCGTGGGCGTCGTATCGGGGAAGCACCGATTGAAGTTTTGTCGACACCCGCCTCATGGCCAATGCAGTCACGCTTTTACCGCGGGTACGTGTTTCAGCAGCGCATACTGAGACGCAGTGAGGCTGCTACACACGGCGTTGTGATGACCCCCGTTGAGGTGACCAATGGCTGCGACTCGGATTTTGTATCGGAGGGCGTTCTCCACATGGCCAGGAGGTCCAGGCCACGACAGATGTACTCGAATCGCATGGCATTACACCACAGCCATGCCACCTTATTGGTGGCTTCAACCTAGCATGGCCGCGAGGCTATTGGCTACAGGTGACGAATCACATCGCTCCATGGACTCTGCACGTGCGTTGATTGGTGCTCTTCAAGATCGCGTTGCCTGATGGACGACGACCCGCTACGCCTCGTGCAGGACATAGTCGCCGGCGACGCGACGCTTCTCGCATATGCCCATGGCTCGCCTCGCTCCTTGTCACCGACGAAGATGCTTCCGGAAGCTTACATATCGGCTGCGTGCTCGGATCTTATGGACGAAATGGATGGCGTCGAATCCGAGCTCTCGCGCTGCACCGCCAGCGCGCACGGTAGTGTGCGCTCGCCGAGTGCCATGGACTCGACCACTGCTCGCTTTGACGCCATGCTGGCAAATTTGGAGCGCGAGTCTCGATGTGTGTCTGAGAAAAGCAGCGACACCAACCGTCCAAGGGGACTCGCCAGCGTCACCCATGTACTCTCCTCGTTGCAAGTTGCGGTAGGATTGCTCTCATGCAAGCGTAGGACGGCACCTCCTTGTCGCTTGGACGACGCCCATGTTATACACCGGCGCGTGTCCAGCCCCCATCTGCGTCTTCGTCATTCGAGTCGTCAAGCAGGCCAAGCTTAGAGTGGGCTTACGTACGCAAGGCGGATGCCGAAACCGCGGAGCTCGTTGACACGACCAAGAAGCAACTCTCGCACGACAATCAAGTGCGTAAGGAGGGATCCGACGCGCAACGCATCCAGCTCATATTACTTATTCTAGGCGCTACTGGCGCGCATCCGACAGGACCTCTTAAGTCAGCGACAGCGAGAGCTCAACGACATTCTTCTGCGCAACGAGCATCAAATGGAGCTCGAGAAGCAAAGCCTCGTGGACAAGCTCTGTGTTGAGTCCAAACTGCGGCGAGCAGCGCTTCAGGCGGAGCTTGACGAAGAGCGCACACGCGTCATCCACGCCATCGAAGCTGCGCATCACGTCCGCCTTTTTTCCAAGCTGCAATAGTTTCGAGTTCCTTGGTTACTTGTAGACAGAAGAGGCCAAGGTGGAAGACGAGGCGCGAGCCGCCCTGGCGCGCGAACTCCAAGCTGAGCGCGAAATTTCTGCGAGCAAACTACTTGCATCTCGTGAAGCATCGCTGGCAAAGGTGCGCGCCGAGACCCTTGAACGGCATGACAGAGTGATGCGGGAAGAGCTCGATAAGCTCGAGGACGCCCTTTCCATGGGATCAAAGCTTCGTTTGGATCAAGTAGGATGCTGGATGTACGCCAAGGTTGTCTGACGCTGCGAAAACGCCTCTTTAGCTGCAGCAGCAGCTTACCCGTCAAGCGCAAGCCAAGCTCTGCGACGTCGAGGCCAGAGCCAAGGTCGCTCTCGAGAAAGAATTAGAGACTTTGTCCAGCGGTCACGCGACACAACTCACGACTAAAGTACACGCGATGCAATCCCACCTTGCGGAGTTGCCCCCTTTGCTAAATGTGTCGTGTTTTCACATACACCGATGCCAATAGGCAGCACCGCATCGAAGTTGCGCGCCTACAACACAAGCTTTCCATCGACGAGACGCGGGTTCTGAACGACGTCACCTTGCAGATGCACGACATACACACAACCAACCTACGGGACCTTGAAGCGCGTCACAGAGACGAGAGTGCCAGGCGGTGCCAGGAGCTCCAGGTTGCATACGAAAAGGAATTTGCGGCGCGCTTGGCGACTGTGACTGCGTCACTCGAGGCCGACCTCGCACAGCGCACGGAGGTGTACGTGCGCGCACAACGTGCCGAAGTGGCGACAGCTCTCGAGAGTGCGACGGCGCGCTTCCACCAGCGGCTCGACCGACTCCTGCGCGAGTTGCGCTTGGTTGCGGGCAAAGTCCCACCATCCACTAGGTTACATACGGTGCAAACACTTGCCGACGTTGCCACGTGGGTCGACGCGGTCGCGTCCGAGGTCGCTGACGTGGCAGGCCAGCAGGCAGGCCTCCTGGACGCGCTTGAGAAGCTCGCCAAGCAGCTCGTCGCCGCGCGCCGCGAGAAATCTGACCTTGAAGCCGAGGTCCAACGTGCGATAAAGCAACTCGACGAGAAGGACCGCGCGTGCCAGCAGCTGTACCTCGCCAACGAGAGTCTACTCCAGCGCCTGCGGGAACCAACAGTCAAGCCGTAAGCGGTCGATGCGCAATACCCGCCAAAGGGGTGTAATTTGTGTTACTGCATCCTGGATTTCGGTGTTGGGTCAAGGCCGTTCCACCAACCGCTGACGCAGGGTGTGTCGTTTCGACGCCCCAGTCCGCACGATGATGCACCGCGCTGCATCGACATTTGTGGAAGACATTCTTGGGCGACACGGGTGCCGGCGTTGCCATTTTCCGATTGCTGTTGGGGATCATGTCCTGTTCTAGTATAGCAGTTTGTATGCAACCCGCACGCACCACGCCTTACTCATCATGATGATGAAGCGTCGCCAATGGCGTCAAAGGCGCGTCTAACCGCGCGACGAACAAACAGTAAACAGTGTGCCATGTATCATATAGCTTGTGTGCACTAGATAAATAGCACGAATCTCAGCGTTGGGACACGAGCTGCCCCGCCGCTAGAAACTCCGGAAGCCCGTTTATGCGTTGGTCGTGTCCCGCCAGCGAGATTTCACACCCGCCACTGTCGCTGCCCGTCCGCAACGCGTCGAAGCCGCCCAGGCTCTGTCACATTTGCCACCTGCTGCCACCATTTCTCGGAAGCGTGCATCAATGCTCAGCGCCCCGAAAACCACGCCTCACATCTGGGACGTTTGCGGTACACGCAGTTTCTTGGTCGACCTTGAGACGGATACGGGAACATGACGTCCACGCCCGGATCTCGCCGCGTAACTCACTGCCCCATGCGTTCATTTTGGCAACGAACGCGTCTGCTCGGCGAGGGTTCAGCTGGAACCGTGCTGAGAAACGAACGAGTGATCACCGCTCATTCAAAATGAATGCCCGACGCACTGAATGGCCCGTGCTTTCTCGTGCGCGAGAAAGACGAGGGTTTACAATGGTATCGTGAGCATGAACTAGGATTTGTGTGTGGCAACACAGATGTCTGCACCCGAGAGATGCAGTGCTGCCGCCCTAAACCAGCTGGCGCATAGGTATGTCTTGGTCCTCTCACCGCTCGCGCCACTCTGAAAAAGGCCATGCTGGTGTCATTTCGAAATTTTACCCCGTGGACAACGAGCATGGCGACGCAGGATACCGACGATGTCATGACGAGCTGTCGCGTACCTCACTGTGACCGGTTTGCCAAATTCATGGGCGTTTGCCTCTTGCATGCTGGCCACAAGTACGAGCGCTCCACCCGCAGCGCGTCGGCGTCGCCACCGCGGTCGCATGCGATGATGTCCCTCGACGCTATCACGAGTCCGGCAACGAGCGCTTCGGGACGCCGTGGGCGGTCGCGCTGGTGTGCGATCAACGACTGCCAGCAACTAGCACGTATCGACGGCCTCTGCACGCGCCACAACATGCAGCTCAGCAGCCAGAAGCGCAAGTGCAGCGTTGACAACTGCACATCCTACGCACGAACCCGTGGTCTGTGCACGCGTCACGGCGGCGGAAAGCTGTGCTCTGTCGACGGCTGCAAAACAGTGGCCCAAAGCGGTGGCGTCTGTCGAACCCACGGCGGTGGTTCCCGCTGCAAGCACGACAATTGTAACCACTTTGCGCGTGTCGGCGGCTTCTGCGGCCAACACATGCCCCAGAGAACCAATACAAACGGCTAGTCCGTTGTTCTAGTTTAGTTGGCTGTTGCTCTCGTAATTTAATTCGTTCACCATTGCATAGAAGTCCGCTGAACGTCGAGGCGTCCGAGGTTATGTTTTGTCAACGCTACATGCACCGCAGTGTGTTAGACACGGCAGGACTGAGCGCTTTTCATGAGTAAACTAAACTTCCTGGTGCTGTCCATGGAGGGCCGCGGCGCGCTGCGACATGTCGCGTAATGGCGTCCACGCGTTCCGTTGCCATAGGGTTGCGCCAGACAGACAGATACGCCTCGACATCTATGCAAGCCAATGATTACATGTAAATGGAGCTCCCACGGGATCCGGCACGGACAGCGAGGCAGCCAGATTCCGACACATTTGGCAGACTTGGAATGCTACAGCTTGTCGATGCGGACCGAGTTTACTGTGCATAAGCACGAACTCTTGCTGGGGCCGACCAAGGTCATGGTGCTAATATAGCATCACCGTCAACAAGGGTACTGCTACTAGTAGTACGCTTGAAGACCGCCATGGTGGGCGATAGCAGAATTTTTGTCAAGGATGTAACCTCATCGGACCGGGAAATGTGACCTTTTTGCGCCGCTATAATAGACTGCTTTGCTCGAGCTCAGAGCAGCCATTCCTTTCGACTAGGTAACTGTTGCCCACTCACGCCACAGATACCCAAGAAGTTTGGACAGGCAAAATGAAGTGCAAAACAAAACCCAGGACCCAAATGACTTTTGTTTAGGCCAATGCTCGTGTTGCTCTCGGTAGTGTTCGAGCCCTTTTATATCTGTGAACGTGTTTGGTATCGATGATTCAGACTTCGCATACGTTGAGACTAGTGCGTGGAGACTAGCAGTCTCTACTTCTTCAGTAGCTCACCGGGCTGTAGCTGTGCAGGTGGGGCACGGGGTTCGTTTTGCTCTTCTGTCGTTGCCGCGGGCGCGAGGTGGTCCATGGCGACATGATCTATGGAGTCTTTCCTGGCATCACGACCGGGAGCAAACCTATGCAGTTTTAGATTCTCGATGGACGCCAGCGACTTGCGGTCACGGTGCAGAACGATCGGCAACAAGAATATTATCCGACCTAAAAAGCGGGCACCTCGGACCAAGATAAGATTAAAAAAAACTGCTCTAGCGTTGGCTAGGGCAGCTTTTTTCCGACGTGGCCCAGCAGGCGCCAGCGCTGATGAGTAACGACCTCGCTCAGCGGGACGCGGTCACAGGGCTTTTAGAGCGGCGAGCGCGTTCGGGTGAAATAGAAGGCGGTGGAACTGCCTTTAATGAAAGTCGTCACCCAATGCCAACCATTCGAGCTCCTTTACAAGACAAATATCTAATGCCTAGCATTGACAGTCAAGACAAACAATTCCTACGAGCCCACCCCGCACGGGACCTGTTTGTGCTTTCTCTTCGCTGATGCTATTCGGGTCCACAAGCACTTGCAATTTCGTGGTTTCCATCAAAGAAACCGCGCGCGCAAAGTGTTTCGAAGCAAAGAGCTCGCGGCGATTCACGTTGCACTATCAGCTTAACGGTTGGCAGAAGTGCTGCTATGGCTGACGACTTGAGCGATACGAAGTAGAGCTACGTAATGTACATGCGGTGACGCACAGTCATACCACACCTTTTACTGCACGAAGAACATGAATGGAACGCCTGCAGCAGGCGCCCAAGTGTAGCAGGCGGCCTGCTACCCTTGTGCAACCAGTATGTGGCCAAGGGGCGTCGCATAACGCATGTTTTAGACTACGCATTTGTATACTAGTAAAGGATATATAATGCAGCTCAAAGCAGGAGCCATGTCATGAAGGCATAAACCTGATAACCGCTTGGATATGTTCCGCGAGGACGTGTATATGCATTCAAAGACCGTCGTCCGTGGACGAAGTCCAGCGCCCACCCCTGGCGACACGAGTGATCACGGGGCATACGATTTACGGCGTCAGCGCCTTTCCGACAGAATCCTGCGTGTGTCTGATTTGTTGGCGTTCGGATTTGCAATTGCGACCCAAATACACATCGCGACGCCAGGTTCGCCAGGTTGGTCACAAGCAAACTTCGATCGCGACACTGTCCAAGCTTCTACCCGCTTCTCAGCGTTGACGTGGGAGTCCGACGAGCGCTGATTCCGTCGGTATTTGGTAAGCACTCAAATGCAACGTGCCAATCCCAGCGACAATGCACTGTTCTTTACGAATAGCATCATTGAGGCACCGGTACAGTGTATGTAGATGCTGGGCGAGATTGACTAAACGACCGCCTGAAAATGTAATCTGTCGCTGTCCCTCCCTTCTCCCTCCGGTGCGTTGAACAGCTGGCGGACGGTCGTCTCTTCACAACTACTAAGCATCCTCAAGCATCCTGATACTAACGCGGACGCGAACCTACCACGGTGCATTCGAACGTACTAGTAGGCCGTAATACCCACGCCCCTCGCGGTTCTTGAAGCTTCGTTGTTGTTGAAACGAGTTAAAATCATAACTTGAAGCTTCGTATCGTTCACACCTTTCGCAGTGTCTTGCAGAACGAGTCGAGCACCAAACTCACATGTTTGCTGCTGTCCTCCATGGTCCTTGTACCGTCCATGTCAGCCTCGGCAAAGTGGGCGCGGACCAGGGCTGTTGGTAGCAAAGAAAGGGGTTTTTCGCAAAATATTTGCCCAGAGATCCAGGTCCACACATGCGTGCAGGAGACATGCGCTTGCAAAAGCACAAGCGCTCGTCGTCTGATTCACCACCCACGGGAGCCTTGCTTCTCTCCCTTCCACTCTGTGCGCTTCTTCATCTTCTTCGTTTGCTCCACGTAGGGTGACTCGCACTTGATGCGGCGTGGATCAGCTACGTTCAATGGAGTATATTTGTATAGGGGATAGTGCTTGCATACATCCACGGCGTGGCGCACAAAACTATAGACGTGCAACACCAACCCGTTTTCCCGATATCGGCTATGGTGAGCACAACTTGAATGTTTGAACAAGCGAATACCAGAGCACTAGGCGAAATGAACAAACAGATACGCAGTATAATTTACAACATTTAGTGGGGAGCGCATTATCAAACGGGGGCGTGGAAGCCACAGAGGCCACCCGCTTTGCTGAATTGGTCGCAATCAGGGTGCTTGCAGCGCGGGCCACCGCCGTGTAGCCGGCACAAGCCACCCGACTGCGCCGAAGTTTTGCAGCCATGGAAGCGGCAAACGTTGCCCCCACCGTGGCGAGTGCAGAGACCGCGCGTCCTCGCGTACGAGTTGCAAGAGACAATGACGCACTTGCGCTTCTTGCTGCTGAGCTGCATGTTGTGGCGCGTGCAGAGACCGTCGATGCGCGCGAGCTGCTCACAGTCTGCGATCGAGCACCAACGGTTCTTTTTTGAACGGCGCTCGCTGCCAGAGACGGACGACGCCGACGACTCGTTCGAGTGGGTGAGCATTTCGATGGACATGGTCTGCGCAGGCTTCTCGGTCCACCTGGGCTTTTGGAGCTTGGCGTGGATCAAACAGAGACTGTCGCTCTTGGCGTACCGAGCGCAGTGGGCGACATGGCACAGGCGCATGGCGCGGTCGATCGTGAGGAAGACCATGGCGGAGGCTGGCAAATTTGTAAGTGGAGTGTCCTCCCGTTCGAATTGCGCACCAGATGGTCCGAGTGGCCGTGATGCCTGCCGCTGGCAGGTGCCTTGATCATCATCAAGATTCACCGCATGTTGATGCCACGCCGCACCATCTGCAGCCGCACCGCGTCTGACGTGGCATTGGCGCTGCACACAGAACATTTACCACAAGAGATGTTTCCACGGACAACTTGACCGCCTCTGCGCCATAGCTTGAGAGGCTACAGCAGCGCGATATGCCTTCTCGAGCATGAAAGCTTGTCGTCCTCCGTGATCACCGTCTCCGAGCATCTGCGCAGTGGTCCTCAAGCAGTGCTTGTACGGCCGTGCGTTTGTTGATCTGAGCACCACATGTTGCCACGACGACGACGTCTTTGCCTCATTCTTTTCTCCCATTATAATAGATCCAAGTCAAATCTCAGCCACATCTCAGCCGACGGGATGACACTGCATAGGCTTAGACATTACGAGAGCACTACACACAACATGAACGTACGGCGGCTGCCGACGAAGAACGAGTAGATATGTCCTCAGCCATTCAATGTGTGTCGCCATCACTTGGTTGGGATACGGTGCTAATGGGTGGACAGCTCGTCTCCTGCAGCAACGGAAAGTCGCGGTCGACGCGGGTCAGTAGTACGATGCCCTGCTGGATGTGTGCATAGCGGCGCGCCGGCGCCAACGCAGTGCGTTTTTGGACCAAATCATCCGTGCCTTGACACGCTAGTCACACGGCGTGCCACGTGGCGCGGTGTGTAATTCGTACCACTCTACTTTTAGTCGACCTTATTTTTCCGATCTTGCTTGCCGACTGGCGTATGGTTCGCGCCGTGCGCAGCGCCGAAATGACTCGTCACGCTGCTAATCGCAAGGTCCTCGTCGTCCAGTGCACACACGCAGAACGCGCGGGCCTGTCACCTTCGGTTTGTACATTGCAGTGCTCCCAGCCGCGACTTGATGTTTATTTTTCACAGAAGATTGCACGATCGCATTCACCGTGGGAGGCAGTATGCGAAAAGCGATGACACCGCAGTAGGATACAGAGTGCAAAGGAAGAAGCATCATCGTGTGTACGTAAACGTCTGCTCTACGACTAGCCAGTGCAAAAGTATCTTGGTTTGTCAATTCTGTTTCGAGTACCTTGATCGCATTCCCAGTGCAGTGTAAATTGCTCCTCGTATTACCGGAGTCTCCTCACACGCTTGTACGTATGAACTTGGACGTGGAGGTCCAGACTGTATCTGTGCGATGGTGGTGCCGGGAAGATGTGGAAGCAACTTCCACCCATGTGGCCCTGGTCTGTCCGTTCAAGACACATGTCTTCACACATCGAACCATGCGCAAGTAATTGCTGTGGGTGCCTGGTCGGCGCATCGCGTGCGTTGATTTGAAATGGCACGACGCACCGTCGTAGCGAGTCATCATCCGTAACCTGCGGCACGAGGCAAAAGACAGCGCCTAAGATACTACGACTTGACATCGGCGCTTCATTGTATATTAACCCAGGCCAAGCCGTATTGCGTGAATACCACAATCACGAGCTCTTTACGGACTTCTTCGTAGCAATCATCGCCGAGACTCGTTCTATTCTCAAGCCCGAGGATGTTCACGGTATCCTGGGGGCGAATGCTGGACAAGTGCTCTGGCTGTTGCTTTTGGATACCGGAGCGCGTGGACGCAAGTGCGGCGTAGTGTATCCATTCTACCATCCGCGCACTTCTGTGTACGAAGAGCCGAAAAGAAGCGATCACCGATTACATAAATTACTCGTCTTGTCCCTACATGCTACAGCGGTCGGTGATGGCTTGCGACGCCGCACGCAGACCTTGCATCCACATATCGAATTCGGCCTCCGAGTCTGTCTACACGGCATCCATGATACAGACGCTCAGAATGTAGACATACCGAAAAGTAGTAGGTGCGCTCCTCGGGCTTGAGCTGTGTGAGCTTGAAGGTAGTGGCCGGACTGTTCATGTAGCGCACTTCGTCGGGCGCGACGTCTTCGATGAGGCAGCGCTAGCGACACATGAGACGATACACATCGAGTAGCATAGCGCACCGTGAGGTACACGACGCCGAGGCGCAGCGGCGCCATGCGATCCGTGCCCATGTAGTACGAGAGCACGCCGTTGTGCAGCGTGCACCAGTGCGGTTGCCACGTGTCCAGTTGGCAACCCGCGATCCACTCTTCGAGGTCCCGCGTCGTTGGCGCCTAGAAATACCCGTGGACACGAGCCGACTGCTGGGTACTTGTACGATAAAGTAAAAGGTTCTGCTCTCCGTCGCGACTTGGTCGATCTTGAAGACGAACGAGTTGTACGGGATGTCGGTGAGCTCGGCTTTGTATTGGTCGCAGACTTCGACCGTCGCGCCCTACCAACACATCCATGCAGAACCGCGTGGGACGGAGATAACGGACCATGAGATCGATTACACCAAGGCACATGCGCGACTGGTTGACGTCTTCGGGCGCCTTGTAGTAGTAGACAAAGCCATTGTACAGGACGCACCAGCGACTCTTCCAGCTCTTGACCCACGCGCCCTAAGATCTGATCGTCTACATGTATCTCGCATCCACAACATACGCGCTTGGTGAGCCAGCCCATGCGCGCGCGCTTCGTGTCAATGTACGGCGGCTCGACGCGCTTCTTGGCGAGGAGGTGCGAGAGGATCGACTGGTTCGCCGTGTTTTCCATGAGCCGGCCCGTGTGCAAGACGATGTCATTGTTGTTGTCGCCGCTGCGGCGCGTGTACGAGTGGCAGATGCGTCCGAGGCGTAGGACGCCGTCCGTCACCGGCGCCTGGTCCGTCACCGACGCCCGGCGCATTGTGCTCATCGCTCTCGATCCGCCGAAATGGACTTCGCCACTTGCCATTGGCTGCGCCCATATGTCACGCTGCGATACAGCCAATCAACGTGCAGCGGCGCCGTGGCACCAATCACGGCGCGATGATCTTGCCAATCGGCGCAAAATTTCGAGGACGCCACGCCAACCTCCAACAGTTGATCTCGACCTTTCACAACGCATAAACCTTCGTCATCATCTCCGCCTCCAAGCGCGTCCCATGGTGCGTGTGTGAAGGTCCGTCGAACGTGCGCTCGTAAGAAGAGTCTGATCGCACTGAACCTGCTGCGAGGTCGGCGACCGAAGCGCATGGTTTTAGCGTCGGTCGCCACTACCGCAATACAAAATAGTGGTAGAAAAATGCGTACAAGAACCGGGTTTTATCGTCGAGCTGACCGCGTCCGGACTGTATCCGGATGATTCCATTGTGGGTAATGGTCGCGTCCGGATACGAATACAAAGTGCAAGAGACGGGTATCCGGCCACCGGGTCGGGTCGAGCGTGCACAAGTCAAGTTGGAAGCAATCGAACCCAGCAGCATGGCCATTCTCTTTGGCATGGAGTTGAGCCCGACGATGGCCGGCGTCGTGTATGGGCTCCTGGGTCTCGCGCTTCTGCTTCTTATCGGCGCCATCGTCTACTACTGGAATTACGCCAAGCGCATTGAGCGCTTCCTCCAGAACGACAACCGCAACAACAACATGCTGCGCCAGGACCTCATCGACACGTTCGTGGCGCGTGGCGAGGAAGAGTGGCCGTGTTCCATTTGCTTCCACGACAACCACCCGAGCAAGAAGGAGTGCGTCATGTGCGGTACGCCGCAGGTCGTCATTGCGCCCAACATGCCTCGCCCATCTGGCTTGCGCAAGTCGGACTTTGTACGCCCCGAGCTCAACCGGTCCAAGTCCACGGTCCTCGACCAGCAAAGCCGAATCCGATCCTTCCACGTACGGCGCCTCAAGCAGATGAACCTAACTGCGCGCCAAAAAGCAGCGATGCGCCGTCACCTCTGGCGCCGGAAGAAGGGCCCGGACGGCCAGATGCACTGGGTGCGCATCGACGCCGACGAGAACGACCCGACGCGCGAAAGCACGGTTGACATGGAGCTTATGGACCCCAACCACCACGAGATTGACATCATGAGCCCGATCTCCAACACGGGCTCGTCGGTCGAGGGGCACGACCCGTACGAGGCGCACGTCGCGCTGGCGATGCGCGACCTCGGCTACGACGACGAGACAGGCACGACGCCTTTCCGGCCGCTTCGAGCAACGGCGCTCAAGCAGCTTGAAGAGGCCGAGGAGCGCACGAGTATGTTTCACAGCGGTGTCATGCCCGACTTCCTTGGCGGGTTTGGCTACGGCAAGGGCCAGCTCCAGCTCCCCGTTGTCTCGGAAGAGGACCGTCGCAACAACTTTACAACCTTGTCGACGGGGTACGTCCGGCATGAAAACGCGGACGGCGGCATGGAGTTTGCACCTGCGACGGCCGTGGCCGTTGGCGAGTCGCGCCAGCTCGACTGCGAAGACGACCTCGAAGAGATTGCGGCGCTCACCTTCCAGGAGAAGAACCGGTGGTTTCTCGAGCAAGTCCAGAAGCGCTGGCGCAAGTACGACGAAGGCCACATCCAGTTTGGTGCGTCCCGTGTCTGGTCTGATGTACTAACATCTACGTGTGTAGTGGTGCGACGCGACCACCTCATTGAGGACTCGATGGAGCAGATGCTCAAGTGCCCCGCGTCGCGCTTCTGGGAGCGCCTCCGCATCTTCTTTGAGAACGAACCAGGCCTGGACGCTGGCGGCCTCATCCGCGAGTGGTACGAGCTCCTTAGCGACAAGCTCTTTAGCGAAGAGATGGGTCTCTTCACGGCGACCAAGGGGGCCAACCTCGCGTACTGGATCAACCCCGCGTCCAAGTCGATCCGCGGCGAGGACCACCTACTCTACTACGAGTTTGTGGGCCGGCTCATCGGGAAGGCGCTTATCGAGGGCTTCAACGTCAAGATGTCTCTGGCGCTGCCGCTCATCAAGCACATGCTCGGCGTGCCCATTTCATTCTCAGACCTCGAGTTTCTCGACGAAGAGCTGTACCGCAACTGCCGCTGGCTCAAGAAGAACGACCAAGCCGAGCTGCTATCTCTCGACTTTACCGTCTCGGTCGTCACGCCCGACGGCAAGTACGCGACCGTGGACCTGAAGCCCAACGGCGCCGACATTCCAGTGACGGACGACAACAAGGCCGAGTACCTCGACCTGCTCTTCAAGCACTACATGTTTGAGAGCATGTCGACGCAGCTCGCGGCCTTTCTCAAGGGCTTTTACGAAATCGTCCCGCTCTTCCTCATCTCGGTCTTCGACTACCAAGAGTTTGACCTGCTCCTCTCCGGTATCCCCGACATTGACTGCGGCGACTGGCGCGCGTACAGCGAGGTGCGTTGGGTCAAGCTCGAGCAGCCGACGCCGACGGAAACAGCGGTCGTCAACTGGTTCTGGAGCGTGGTGCAGAGCTTCTCGGGCGAAGAGCGTGCGCGTCTTCTGCAGTTTGCCACGGGCACATCCCGCGTACGTCGACTTCTTCTCGGGGCATTGAGGACTTATAACGTTGTGCAGGTGCCCGTGCAAGGCTTCAAGGCGCTGACGTCGTCGGACGGCCGCGTGCGTCGGTTCACTATTCAGATGGTCAACCGCGGCCCGCCGCCAACGGGCTTAATGCCCAAGGGCCACACGTGCTTCAACCGCATCGACTTGCCGCTGTATACGAGCCAAGACGAGCTTGCAAAGTACCTGACGCTCGTCATCAACATGGAGATCACGGGGTTTTGGTTAGAGTAACGAGTAGGCGTAACTATTATGGACGTTATTGTACAAATGAAAAGCGCGCAGCAGAAGGGCGTCTTGTCCGGTTACGTTTGGCGGTCCGTGTTAGACTTCTCTGAACCGTGTAAGTCACGGTGTTATAACGTGCGCTGGCGCTTCGAAACGTGGAGTTACGGCGAGGCGGAGCGATGGACCGGGCCGCGCTGCTCAAGCACGCGTCGCTGCACAAGGGCCTAACCAACTACGCGGGCCAGAACAACTGCTTCCTCAATGTCATCATCCAGTCGCTCTGGCACCTCGACAGCTTCCGCGTACTCATCTCGACGAGCGACCACGTGCACGGCCTCGGCGAGGCTTGTCTCCTCTGCGAGCTCAAGGAAATCTTCGCCTTCTACGAGTTCAGCGACGAGGACGCACTCGCGCCCGACAACGTGCGCATCGCGCTCGACGTCCTGTACCGCGAGCGCTTCCAAGTCGGGCGCATGGCAGACGCGACCGAGACGCTGGACACGATCCTCGCCTTCATGCACGCCGACCAGTGCCGCAGCGGCGATCTCGCAACCTCGATGCAGATTAAGGACACGACGTGCGAGCCGCGCTGCATTGCGCACGCGCTCTTCGAGGCCGACATGTTTGACGTCCATCACTGCGCAAGCTGCGGCGCAACGTCAGACCCCGACATGTGGAAGGACACGCTGTACCGCGTCTACTTTGCCGAGCTCTACAAGTACGTGGGCGACGAAACGTCGTACTTTACGAGCAGGAAGGCCGATGCGCCAAGCTTCGCGTCCGTCCTCAAAGCACTGCTCAACGACGGTCCGGGCAAGTCGTGCCCGGACGCCGACGCCACGGGCTGCAAGGGGCATTGCCGCGTCGAGCGGTACGACAGAGTCGGTGCACACTGCATAACACTGCATCTTAGGTGGCTGCTCAAGCTTCCAATCGTCTTTGCGATCAGCATCGTGTGGCCCTCCAACAGCGTGGGCGGGAGGGAGCTCAAGGCGTTCGCCAACGTCATTCCGCACGCGCTCGACTTGAGCCACGTGTTCGAGCTCGGCGGCGACGCAGCCGAAGCGCCAAAGGAGGACGCGCAGTACGTGTTTCGCGGCATGGTGTGCTACTACGGCCAGCACTATGTGAGTTTCTTCCGGTCCCAGTCGGGCGACCGCGCGTGGTACCTCTTTGACGACAAGACCGTGCGCACGGTACGTGCTGAGACGATTACGAAATCGCGATCTGATACAAATCTTAGGTGGGTACGTGGCACGATGTGCGGCAGCGAATTGAGCGGGGTTGTTACCAGCCGACCATTCTCTTTTGGGAGAAAGAGACGCTCAAATACGAGGAACTCGAATCGCTCGCCGAGGTTGTGCACCACCGCAAGAGCAGCGTCGACGTCGACGTACGATCGCCGCCGAGTTCCCCAGCGACGCGGCCGACGCTCCCAGCAACAGCCTTTTCCACGCGCATTGAGGACCTTGTGGACCTGGCGCCGCACCTTCCGACGCTCGAGACCATCGATGCGTTAGATGCGCTTGATATTGCGCTCGATATCTCTCGCCCGTCGTCCCCAAATCGGATACCACCGGTGCGCCATTGCTCTCTACACGAATCCAACGAATCATCGCGTAGATGTCGCCAAGCCAATCGACAAGCACGTCGTCGTCGTCGCCATTTAAGACTCCTACGACTCTTCCGATGCTTCAGGCGTCGTCGCCTGCTGTCGTCGCGTCCGTTCCCGCCACCGCGCCCCCGTCCTTGTCCTTGTCACCAAAGAAGCAGCGTCACTTTGTCGTGTTTCAAGGCGCCGAAGCCAACGCCAAGTCGGGGCGGACGCGCATTCGCGTGCAGCTCACGGCCACGGACGGCGGCCTCGGTCTCGTCCTTGCAAAGAAAGACTCGGAAGTGTACGTCTCGGCGCTCGAGAAGAACGCCGCCGGCGAGGCGCTCCCGGCTGAAGCGTGCGGTGCGATCGCCCTACGAGACCGCCTGCTGCGGCTCAACGACGCGGACGTGCACGTCAAGACGTTGTACCAAATCATGGAGGAGCTGATTACGACGTCCGAGCCCGTGACGCTCGAGTTTGAACGGCGGGTACCGTGGCTCTGCGGGGCGTGTACGCTCATCAACGCGACGACGGCGACGACGTGTGGCGCCTGCGACCTGCCGCGCGCGTCCTAAAGCAAATGCTATTCTTGATAATCTGCTATAAATCTGTTTAAACATGCAGTTGCGTGTGGCGGTCGCGGAAGAGGCTCTGGACCTGGTCTTCGAGGGCAGCCAAGTTCTTGGCATCGTCGATGGCCGCTAGCGTCGTCCGCAACGAGTGAAGAAGACCAGCAACTGCAGTTGGCGTCGCAATGGCATCGTCGTCGTCGTCGTCGAGGCTGACGTTGTTATCCGCGTGATGCAGGTTGGCAACCCCGGGCGGCGGTGTCCCGACATCGAGGGCGATGCCGGGGGACCCTACGGCGTCGAGCACGGACACTGCGACCGCAACGCTGCCGTGGCTCTCGAGGATCGAGTCGATGCTTCCCATATGACGCTCGTTGACCTCATTGTCATCGTCCACGTTTTGGTTGTCGCGGGCAATTCGAATGGCTTCCTCAATGACCGCTCGAGGAATGCGCCGGCCGCGGTGCGTGCGCTGGAGCGGGATCCAGAACTTGCGCTTGTCCATCTTGGCGCCGTCAAAGAGGAAGACGATGAGGCTATTGGGCACGGCCTCGCGCGCGTACCCACACGTGCTGCTGCGCGACGCGTTGATGAAGCGGACGACGAGGTCGAGAAGGTCCTGGAACTTCCACTCGCGCAGATGCACGACGTCGGCGTGGCGGTGCATGAGCACCTTGGGCGGGAAGTGCGTGTGCATGTCGCTGTGGAAGGCGCCGCAGAGCGCGCTGTTGTCGCACTCGTGCGCGCCGTTGCGCAGGAGCTGGTCGCGGAAGACGACAAAGTCCGTGTACGTCTTCCCGACGCGGAAGCTGTGGTCCGTCGCCGCGTTGTGCACCTGCAGCACGTACGTCGTCGAGAGGCCCGTCGAGAAGAGCGGTGGCACCTTGGTCTTGATGATCTTGGCGCTCACCTTGGTGAAGATGTTGGTGTCTTTGACCATCTCTGCCGTGTAATGCTACTGCCACTGTAGCACTTTCCAGCATCAAGTTTTTTGTATGGTATACTTAACTTGATACTCACAGCAATCAAAACAGTGTTTCCACATGTCGCAGCCAGTGCTTTGCACGGATCGCCACTGCTCTTCATCGATCGGTCAAACGATGAAATGGTAAATGGTTGGCAGGATTTATACCCGAGGATCCTACTCGATGGCTTGGTCGCTGGCTGGACGCTGGCGACGATACTCATATTCGCTGGCGCGTTTTGGTCACAAGCTGTGGTCGTCCAGCGGGCCCATGTCTGTGTCTTCCATCATCATACTCGTGGGTGCTCCCACCGGCGACGCGATCGGACTAGTCGAGGTATAAGTACTATGCACAAGAGTAATGACCAACCTCATGGGCTGACCGTGCTTGTCAAAGCCGATCTCTCGAAGCACACGCGTCGTCTCGGGCGTCGCTACGCACCTGTCACGAAAGCGAAGCTCAAGGCAAACGTACGTGGCAGCGGGAGACCGAGCAGCGACACGGGCGACGGTGGCACGTTGCTCGACGACGGGCGGTGGCGCTTTTTTGAGTCTGGCCGTACGCGGTCGTCGGTCTCGTCCAGGAAGACCTCTTGCCGAAACATCTACTCGGCGTCACGATCATCCCCTGATAGAGAATGCTACCTCGAACGCCAAGCGGTCGTGGTCGAGCTTTTCTGCTTGTTGTGTAAAGAGGTGGCGCTCCGACTCCATGTTCTCCGCTGTGATGGCCAGCGCCTGCTTTTCGTGCGAGAGCGACTCCATCATATCTTCGAGTTGAGAGAGCTCGAGTCGCGGCTCGCCGCTCGACATCTTGGGCGATGCGTCGTCCAGCGCGAGGTGAATCAAGTGATCTTGCTCCTGAATGATCCGAACCGCGTCACGCAGCTGTGCCTCGAGTGTCGCCACGTGCTTCTCGTGCTTGAGCTCCATGAGGCACCCAATCTACGTCCAACGACTCAGATCGCTCTCAGGTCATGAGGCCTCTTGCCTTTGTCCGAAGACTCTCGAGCCGGTCCTCGATCATCGCGAGCACATTGTTGCCCGACGCGAGGATCGGCATCGTAAAGAGGTTGGTCGCAATGCTTTCGTCGCCGAGCTGCAGCTGCGTCTCGACGTCTTGGGGCATGCCTTGCCTGCACATAGAAATACATCAGAGGTGGCCATTGACAAAGGGTGTACTGGTTCGAAAGCCAGCGCGTCGTGGCCTTGAACTCGGTCGTGAGCTGCTTGAGCTCGCTGTGGAACTTGACCAGTTGTCGGCGCAGCGTGTCGTTCTCGGTCACGAGCGTCGTGTGCTGCTGCTCGTACGACTTGAGCATCTACGACGCCGTGTCATCATCATCCAGTAGCGTGTGAAGACCGGTCAGAACCTTGTTGACGATCGCGTGCTCCCCCTGCGCCCTTTTCTGAGCGTCCTTGCGCAAGCGCAAGCTCTCGGCGCGACCGTTGAGCTCCTTTCCCAGTGCCATACCCTACACAGATTTGTCAGCAAATATACCCATTCACCGCCCTCGTACCCGCTTCTCGGAGCTCGCCTTATTGAGGTGCTGCGTGTACTGCTTCTGAAGGCGTTCGTACTGCACTTCGCTCTTCCGGAGCTGCGCCTTGTAGTTCGAGTCCACGTGCTGCAGCCTGTTCCACGTGAGTCATTTAGAAATGGCACTTCCATCGGCCTACTGGATGCACTTTTTCTCGAGCGCGCGCTTGTCGGCTTGCAGCGCCAGCTTCTCGCGGGCCATCGCTGCGTCCCGCGCCGCAAGCAAGTTCTCCAGGTCTGCGTTCCTCTATCCAGACACATACATTTCCGACATGGTCAAATGGAGCAAGTACTTTGCGCTCGGTCTCGAGGTGGATGTTGGCGATCTGCAGCTGGCTTGCCTTGCGCGCAACGTCTTTCTCGAGCCTGGCAAACTGCTCGGTGAGCTCGTCGTTGCGCAAGACCTCTTCCCGGCGCGATTGCAGGAGCCAGTGAATGCAGTCCATGGTCCGCCGAACCTCGTCTTCGGACGACGATGTCGCGAACCGCAGGGCGCGGACCGGCAGCGCGCGTACGCCAACGTGCTGCAACTCGATCTGCCGGTTGAGGTACACTGCGTTGTCCTCGAGGGAGTTGTACTCGGGCAGTTGCCACGGCTTGGTATCGCCCCATCGCACCGCGTCGGTTGGCGCTGCTGTCATGGCTGTCGCCGGCGCGCTGCTTCCATGGAGGTCGTCGCCGGCGGTCGGCGTGGCGTCGGCGGGCGTTTGCAGGAAGACATCGCCAAAGTCCATGACGTACCCCCGACCCGACGTCGTCGTGACCACGCCGTCCGGATCCATCGTGTTTTGAAAATACAAACGCCTCGCGTTTTATTGGCCATAATCTCATCTTTTGGGCCAATCACCGGCCTTCACAACCGAATCGAGGCGCCAACCGGTTACAAGTACGTCGGCCTTTTTCCAGTGACGATGACAGAGTTGCACTCGTGTCAGTGTCAAGTTGTTCGAACCGAAAAGCTCAAGCAAACCCTGGAGCGTTAAATCGTAGCTGCACAACTCGATGCATGGCTGCTCCTCATCCAACTCATCAGTCATGGCGGATCGCTAACGTTAGTACCACAGACGACGACTGCAACAGAGCACCGAGCGTTGACTGTACCGATGCCACGTCGTCGACCATCATCTCACCAAAGTAGCGTCGTGCGACCGACCTGAGCTCGCCGCTGCAGCACATCGAATGCTCATTTCCGACGAGTCCTATAGCAAAGTCGACCGTGCCGCCTTGCTGCCGCATGACCGTCCATCGATCCAAAGCTGTGAAAGCCTGTGGACGCTGAAAACTCACAAAGCACAACCGTTTATGTCTAACCAACGTCATGTTGGCGGTCGTCTTTACTTGGGCTGGTTAACCGACGGCAAGTTGACCGACTCTTGCCAGAACGGCGCCTGCGACGCGTGAGCAGCAGCGTCCCATTGGCTGTTCTTCTCCTTCGTCGCTTCTTCCCAGGCCACGAAGCCCTTGACGATCGCAGGCTCGTCACCGAGGACCGGCAGCGTCACGCCGAGGGCCTCGGCCGCTTCGGCCATGCTCACCGTCTTCTTGCCGCGCTTGAAGATCGCGCGCGTGAGCCCTACGCTTGGACGTTTCATCGCCGTCCCGACCGCACGCGGATTCGTACCTTCGGCGTACAGAGCGCCGGTCTTGGGGCACACAAACTGGTGCGAGATGTAGCTCCACTTGTCGTCCCAGTGGATCATTTGCGTGTGAATCTCGTACGGCGCAAAGGGCGCGATGGACCGGCGGTACCGGATCGACTGCGACGCAACGATAAACATCCAGCGGCGCTGAAATGCGAGACCGAGGAGTCCGCTGAGCCTACTCAACGCGTCAGCTTTGAAACTCTACGTGAAGCGTACCCCGTCATGTGCCAGCGCGCGAGCTCCATGTTGTACAGGTACGACGAGTTGTTGAGGTGCAAATTGAGGTCGATGTCGAGGAACCCGCTGCGCGCCTTCCACACGTGGCGGCGCGTGATGGCGACGTCAGCCAGCGCCGCCTTGTCCCGCGTCAGCGCTCGCGTGAAGAGGCCCGCCGCAATGTTCCAGAGCGAGCGACCCACCATCGTCTTGTGACCCGACCTTGGAAATCGGCGACTGGCGCCACGGACCGTTCCTGGTTGCTGTTGACGCAACTTTTGATGTATTTTAAATAGCTAGCGATTTGTATTCAACATCAGTATTTTTATATCCACCAATGGCATCACGCCATTGGAAAGATATGGAAATCGCCAGACGTCCGCAACTCGTTCGCGCTAGATATGGCCAAGTTGTTCATCATTTTATGGTTTACTAGACGTTGCTGCTGATGAAATACTAGTTACAAACCGCTGGAACGTGAGGCGGATGACTACAGGCGCAATCACTCGGTTGCGACGATTCGTAGAAGACCACGGATGTGTCGCCATGCATTATATACTATCGTTCCTGTTTCTGATAATCTTTGGTGTTTAGGACGCCGGCGCCTCCACAAACGGCTTGCGCGTGTACGCCCCAACGAGCGGGTTCTCGACGCCGTCGACGTGGTTGTTGAAGTCCATGAGCTTGAAGAGCACTTCCTCTTCCGGCGACTTGCCCTCGCTCTGGCCGCCGTACTCGACCGGAATGTTCTCGACCGGAATGCGCTTGACGAGCGCCTCGAAGATCGCGCTCTTGCCGCGGACGATCGTCACCTTCTCGCGCGTGACCTCGTCGATCATGCCCTGCACGACCTTCCAGATCATGTTGAACCACATGGGCACGTTGACTACAAAGATGTACGCGCAGCGCTCCGGGTAGTGTTTGCCTACAATCGTATGTATCAATGTATCGAGTGTCGACATCCAAGTACCTGTAAACGACGACGCCTTCCGGATGTAATCGACGACTTCGCCGCCAAAGTCGGCCATGCCAATGCCTTCGACGTCGATGACCGTGATGCACTTTTGGTTGTCGTCCTTCTCGACGACGCGCCAGAGAAACTCCGAGATCATCGTGTAGTTGCGAATGAGGTTCTCGAGTGTGACACCTTCGGCGCGAAGCAGCTTGAGGTCGATCTTGCCCGGCTTCTCGTAGTAGACAGGTTCGTTGTGCAGGCCGCGCTTGTGGTAGTAGTGCGGGTAGTTTTGCTTGATGAGACGGAAGAACGGCATGGGCTCGTCGAGAATACCGTCGACACCCTCCTCCTTGCGCCACGCGAGCGTGTCCTCCCAGCGCACTAGAGGCAACATCTCAGACGCACTTCTCAATGGCGTGGGTTCGTACCGAGGGCCGCGGCGGGGTCGCCCTTGACAGCGTTCATGTACCGCTTCGGCACGGGCGGTGACTCGCCTTTGGTGCTGGCGACAACGTTAACTGCAGGCGCCACAGGTCCCTCGGCGTCACGCCGGAAGACGTATTGCAGCAGCACGAGCTTCTTCGTACCGGGCGCGGCCAATTCCTGCGCCGACGTCGTCGACGATGGCTTCTTGGGCGTTGCTTGGTTGCCTGAAAGCAGGAGAAACATCGCCGGGGTCCAAATACAGGCTGCGAGCGCGACGGCGATCCACTGGTGCACGAGGCCGGAGCGCTTGAGCAGCGCGAGGATCTACACAAGTAGCAGACGTCAGGCTTGGGTTAGGCTCGCGCAGCAACGTACAACGGACGAAATGACCACAAGAATCGAGACCTTGTGCACCGGGGTGTCCTGGAGCTTTTGCGCCAGCGCCTGCGTCATCGGCACAGACGGTTCGGGTGCGCGGTACGCAGGCGACGACGGGTCCGGCGCGACCTGCAAGCTGAGCTGGACACCACCCGGGCCATTGGTCAGCGGGACGTAGAGAGGGCCCGACGAGTTTTGGCTGTCACGGACCAAGTCTTGCACAAGCTCGGGCGTCAAGAGGAGCGTCTTGTCGTGGCTAAAGCGCACCTCGATTGTCTTGTCTTCGGTCGTAATGTCAATCGGCTGCCCAAACTGATAGCCCGAGAGAATCTTGGACTTGAGTCGCACTTGCTTCACTTGGAGCTTGGGCGGCGCGATCGTGCAGTGGAGGTCGTGGCCTGCAATACATAAGTCCACACGTTCTTGGCACAGTTCGATATACCTTTGCCGTCGCAGCAAATGTAGCCGCCGAGAATCGACGACGTCGGCTTCTTGAAGTTGGTGAGGCGCTTGTTGTACGCGCGCACGTGGCGGTTGGCGTCCTCGACGTCAATGACGATCGAGTCCCCAAAGTGCACAAAGAGCGACGTCGATTGCGGGCCCTTGGGGTTCGGATGGAAGCTCACAAACATCTCGCCGGGCGTCTGGCGCGGGCGTGGACCAACATAGCCCGTGATGCCACCCGTCTTGTTGTTCCAGACTTCGTCGTTCTGATTCACGAGCACGAGTGTGTGGCCAAACTGGACGGGCGACCCGAGCTTGTGCGTCTTGCTCGGGTCCAGCACCGTGTACTCATCCTCCTTGAAGAGATGTTCCTGCGACGGCCCAAGCGGTGGCACGCAGTTGAGGATGCCATGCTTTCCCTTCTTCTCGTAGACGCCGAGCCCGACATCGGTGGGCGCGCTCGCACTGTGATACGAGCTCGCCGCCATGAGGCGCAGCTGCTGACCGTAGAGCAGGACGCCCTGCGGGATCGGGACGAGGACCGGCGCGCTTGAGACCGCGCTGGTCGCGGTGCTTGACGGTCGCGACGACGCCGCCGACGTGCTCATGCTGCTGCGGACCTTGTCGGGAAATGAAAAATCGTTACATCCCAGCGAGATACGAGTATCGTAAAATGAACAAGTTTTATTACGCATACAAAAAGCAAGATATGGGCGATGAAAACAGTTAAATGACGTCGAGTCCACGTGGAATCTGTGGAGCGCAACGCTTTTTATGACTGGATGTTTGTATGCAACGCGCCTCGTTTTAAAGAATCCGCACCGCCACCAGACTGCTGCCTTCTTGAAGCTGCCACGACGTTAGCAGCTCCCTGTCAACGTCAGCGAAATAAGGATCGATCTTGGCATGGGTATTCCCAGAGTACTAGGTACTAGAAGTACTAGATGCAGCTAATGTGAGAGATTCGGTGACGCCGACAGTGGCAGGGACCAGCATTACCACCGCAAACCGCGCGGCCGGTCGCGGCCGGTCTCTACCGGCTCCTGCGCATGGCGTCAACGCTCACTTTCATGCGGCCGCGCTGCTTCGCGGCATACTAGTAGTAGGGCCACAACAGTCGTTCAAAGACCGGCCATTGGAACATAACTTTCGACTTGCTGCACACTCGGAGTCTACGACACGCAGATGAGCTGTCGTCCGATTGGTGGCGGAGCGCATGCGTGGGCAGAATGAATGCAGTACCGACCTTACTCGTAAGGAGGCGATCAACGTCGCCGAGAGGTTTCGTCCACTGACAAAGTTGAACGACAGGTGACGACTGGCGGAGCATTCGCTCTGGCTTGGGTACACGGGCATTCATTAAGGTCTTGCCTGTCTGCAACAAAGCCTATGCGGCTATTTCAGGCCCTTGCTCGCAAGACTGCTCTGCGAGGAGGCAAAGCTTGCTTGCAGATCTGCGAGCAAGACGGTCAGGACAGAATCCGGAAATGTAGCCAATCATACTCCAGCGTACTGCTCGCAAGCAGTTCCATCGATTTGATTGGTCACATTCAAGATTTGCATGGCATATCCTCCAATCCGAGGGCATGTCGATCAGGGGTTGACTGCCATTTATTACGGTATCCGGACGCTCGCCTGACGGCAACTCGACCCAGAATCCACAATGGCCACGATGAGCGCGAACGCGTTTGCGATGTTCTTGACGCACCACGAGGCGCAGCTCCGCGGCGCTGCGATCCCCGAGCACCTCTGGCCGTCGCTCTTCCAGAAGCTCAGGTTTGCTTCTCTCTCATATACACGCGTCTCATACGCGCTGTAGCAACGAAATCTTTGACGCTGGCAACTACTTTCAGCTCGCGGCCGACGAAGACGGCGACTTGCACGCGGTGGCGTTGCAGGACATTGCCGCGGCGGACGCCGATGCCGTCTTCCTCATCGACCATGCGTGGACGTACACGACGGACAACGACCAGGCGCGCGTGGCGCTCATGACGGCGCCGTCGCTCTTGCCGCGCATGGAGGCGCTCATGCAGCTGCCGGTGGACGAGTCGGCGACGACCCACGACCGCGCGACGGCCGTGCTCCGGGCCATGTGGCGCTACGCCAACTCGTACCGCCTCGGGCACCTCCGCCCCGAAGAGGCCGCGACAATCTGGTACATCATGGACGAGTTTGGGTCTGCGATCGAGCACGCGGACGCGCCCACCTTTCGCATGGCGCCCTTCTACTACGCGCCGGCGCAGTGCGCGTTCTCGATCCTGTGGCCGATCGAAGATGTCGAGGCCGGCGACTTTGCGTCCCTTGCGTACGCGACGGCGGCGACCGACGACGTCCGCATCGCGCTTCTCGCCGGCATCTTCTTCCCCAGCGGCGAAGAGTACGTGGCGCAACTCCCGGCCATCTGCGCGGCGCGCCAGCTTCGCCAGACAAGCATCTACGACGCCCAGGCGACGCGCGACGACGAGGTCGTGAGCGCGTCGGCGAGCGTCCGGACGCCGGCGTCGTCGTGGGCGCTGCCGATCAAGGTGTGCACGGACCTCAAGCTCATGAAGGAGTTTCTGGACGACCCGAACTTTGTGTTTGTCGACAACGAAGTCGACGCCAACGTCGTGTGGCCGACGCGCCACATCAAGGACTACGTCTCGCTCGAGGCCAACGAGAACGTCAAGGTCTTCAACCAGTTCCCGAACGAGAAGGTCCTCACGTGCAAGGACCTCCTCTACGAGACGTGCAAGCGGTACGCACCAGCTAAAGACGTGTAGTCTTATCCGATCCTTGTAGCGCGTGCAACAACCAGCAGCCGCCGTTCATGGCGCTGACGTACAACATGGAGTCGGAACTCCCCGAGCTCATGCAAGAGTACGTCCGGCGCGACGCTGCTGGCGAAGACAATGTGTGGATCTGCAAGCCGTGGAACCTCGCGCGGTCGCTCGGTACGCCGCTAATTTGCGTCGACGCAAATGCTGACGTATTCGGCTGTAGATACGACGATTGCGACGTCGTCGGCCAACCTCGCCAAGCTGGCGCAGACAGGCCCCAAGGTTGCGTGCAAGTACATTACGCAGCCGCTTTTGATCAAGGAGCGCAAGTTCGACTTCCGCTTCCTCGGTAACCTCGCCCCTTCTGCATTCGATGGTCTTATCTCTAAACCAGTCATGGTCGTCAACACGCAGCCGCTCGAGCTGTACGTGAGCGGCGTCTACTGGCTGCGTATCGCCAACAAGCCATTCACGATGGACAACTTTGACGACTTCCAAAAGCACTTCACCGTCATGAACTACACCGACTACGGCGTCGAGATCATGCACAACCAAGAATTCGAAGACCAGTTTGCGCGCGAGTACCCGAGCCAGGACTGGGCGATCGTCAAGGCCGACATCTTTAACGCCATCAAGGCGCTCTTCGCGGCGGCCACGTCGCACCCCGCGCCCCAGGGTACATGAGCACGTCGAAGCATTCGTCGCTTACAGTGTTTAGGGCTGGGCCACTCCAACAAATCGCGTGCGCTGTACGGAGTCGACGTGATGCTCGAGTGGCACGACGAAGTCATTCACCCGGTCGTCCTCGAGGTTCGGTTTTGTCTCCCTATACGCTTGCAACTAATTGATGAGTTAGTGCAACTTCCATCCCGACTGCACGCGCGCGTCGCGCTACTTTCCCAAGTTTTTCAACGACTTGCTCAACGTCCTCGTCCTTAACAAGCCCGAAGCGACTGTGTACGGCGCGACCAAGTTGTAAATTCTAATTCAGATTTGGATTCGGTTTCAGTGGATCAGCCAGCTCGCGTAGACGCTACTCAACATTACAGGCCTCCAACATACATGTACCCGACTCGGTGTCCAAGCATCCTCGAAGAACCCTCGATGAGGTCTCCGT